CTGATTTCCTTCAGAATGGATAGGTTTGATCTTCTTGCAGTCCATGGGACTCTCAGGAGTCTCCTCCAGCACCATAATTCAAAAGCATCAATTCTTTGGCGATCAGCCTTCTTTATGGTCCAGCTCTCACTTCCATACATCACTACTGGGAAAACCATAGCGTTAACTGTACAGACCTTTGTTGGCAAGGTGATGTCTCTGCTTTTAAAGATGCTGTCTAGGTTTGTCATTGCTTTTCTCCCAAGAAGCAGGCGTCTTTTAATTTCATGGATGGAAGCACAAATGAGTTAATTCCTGGTCTGTTTCCAAACTTAGGCCAAGCGGGTGGGACACTGATGTCATCCCATGGTTAGGTTTGATATTGGGGGAGGGGGACATATTTCAGCCTAGGTGCCAGCATGGAATGGGAATGTTGGTGGGTAGTTTATACAACAAAGCAACAACACCACAAACTGGCTTATAAATATAAAACCAAATTTACTAGAATAATAGCTAGAATAGAGATAGACTTATAAGCATTCAAACAACAAACATACCAAGGTGCCATGTGCAAGACAAAGCCTGGAGATACTGTAAACATGGAGTGGATAAATGTACAACTCTATCTTAACAAGTTACATGTACAGTAAACGTTATACAGACTGGATAAATGAACCTTTCAACAAGTAGTGTCAGTCCAATCATGGAACGGCAACCCCGTGCCCCCACAACGGCAAGGGTAGCACACTGGAGAATATGGAAAAGTTTTTCAAAGCTGTTTTTCAAAGATTGAACTGGATGAGATGTTCTTCAATGGGTCTTGAGTTGGAAACACAAAGCCGTATGCATGGATCGATCATGGGAAGGCAAATCAAAGCCACCACCCTGGTGAGAATAACACAAGCGGGCAAAAGGAGACCTGTTCTCCGGATATATTACAGGTTTCGCTACACACTTCATCAGTCCGAAAAGCTGCATGATACAAAACAGCACGCCAATTACAATGTGTGGTAAACCATAAAAATTAGAAAATATCAGTCTCATACTATACCTTACCCAATCATACAGAATAGTTTGCTTAGGATAAAGAAGGTATTCACAGGCACAGCTAGTGTTCAGACTAGTTTATGTCATCTGCAGTGGGACATGATCCTGACCCACCCAGAAATGCCGGAAATACACAGGCATTGATATTGGGGGGTGCTGCTGCTGCTGCTGCTAATGGTGGCCAAAAACACACCATACATTAAAAACATATCGCTCCCCCATCCCCAAATCCAGCCAACTATAGTTACCTTCACAGAACTACAGTTTCCAGCATCCTTAACAAACTTTATTTGGGGAAAATCGTGTGCTTTGAATGTGTTTAAAATGCATGGAGTTTAAGAGACCTGTACTTAAACACATTTTAATACTGCAAAATCATGGGGCTGGTCCACATGCCCAATTGGGTGTGCTGAGCTCCTCCCCTACTTAGAAGCCGCCACCCCCATCCCACATGTCATTTTTAACCTTTTGTAGATGTGATTTACCAACAACTAGACGTGCCATAGGGCGTTACCATAAGGGTGTATTTAGCAAGTTCCCTTTGTAAAATGGTTTCTAATCTTTAAATCGTGCACAGTTAAGACCCATCATTGCTTCTAAAGTTTGAGTTGCAGAGCTCTGCAGGGTTTATAAAGGGCAAATATATAGCAGAACAAGAGATGAAATAATGCATCCACCGTTCAGAAATACTCTGAAAAAATTATTGAAACTGACAAGAAAGTAGCCATTTTTACCTCAAATGAAAAGGGACGCGGGTGGCGCTGTGGGTTAAACCACAGAGCCTAGGACTTGCCAATCAGAAGGTTGGCAGTTCGAATCCCCACAAAGGAGTGAGCTCCCATTGCTCAGTCCCTGCTCCTGCCAACCTAGCAGTTCGAAAGCACGTCAAAGTGCAAGTAGATAAATAGGTACTGCTCCAGTGGGAAGGTAAATGGTGTTTCCGTGTGCTGCTCTGGTTCGCCAGAAACGGCTTAGTCATGCTGGCCACATGACTCGGAAGCTGTATGCTGGCTCCCTCATCCAATAAAGCGAGATATGCGCCGCAACCCTAGAGTCGGTCACGACTGGACCTAATGGTCAGGGGTCTCTTTACTTTTAACTTTACCTCAAATGAACACAAATCCCTGTGGCTGTGTTTTGTTGTTGTTGTTTTTAATGCTGACATCAGATTCAGTTCTCAACACATTACAGTGGCTCCTAAGACCAAGAGAGCAGTGCAAGAAATTTCAAATATTCTTGGCATAAGGAACAGAATAAATATATGTATATGTGCAACAGGTAAGGATGGATATGGGACTTTCTGTGAAGTCTAATGTTCAACTGGAAATGTGTTACAGAAGTATTATATATACACTCTATTCCCTGAAGTGGTTAAATTATGTCTGTCCAGTTCCACTTCAGATCGTAGGTGAGGCCTCACATGATTAGATGTTCCTCTTAGAGCCAGTGTGGTGTAGTGGTTAAGAGCGGTGGACTCGTAATCTGGTGAACCGGGTTCGCGTCTCCGCTCCTCCACATGCAGCTGCTGGGTGACCTTGGGCTAGTCACACTTCTCTGAAGTCTCTCAGCCCCACTCACCTCACAGAGTGTTTGTTGTGGGGAGGAAGGGAAAGGAGAATGTTAGCTGCTTTGAGAATCCATAGGGTAGTGATAAAGCGGGATATCCAATCCAAACTCTTCTTCTTCTTCCATATAAAACAACAGCAACGAACCCTCCCAACCTGTAGAAAGTTAGCATGTCAGGGCTCCACATCCCTTGATGATGCTTGGTTTCCATGTGGAAGGAATGTTTTCATGTGCAGGAGCATCAGTGAGCTCCCACATTGAGGTCTAAAATGACCCAGCCCAGACATGGATTCAAGGCCCTCAATGGCAACCATAGTCTAGTCCTCTTTGTCTATCATTACAAGCCTGGGCTGACCCTCACAGCTGGGGGAAGATGCTGTAGGCAGAGGAATACTTTTTCCTCAAAGATGTTCTTCTCACCTTTCACAGGAGCCACCATGTTTAGTGGGACCACCTCCCTACAAAGTTCAGGTGTGTTTTGGACCCTTCTCGTTGTCACACTCGCTGTGAAAGCTACCTGCTTCCACAAAATAATGAAGTAGCAAAGCTGGAACGCTTTGAAGTCAGGTGTTTGTGTTGGGACTTGGAACGAACAGCCTGCTTAAAACAACAACCCACTTTTCTCTTTTCTCTAGGCCTTGCGGGGCAAAAGAGAGGCTTGTCAGAAGACTTTGTTGTAAAATTTCCGCCCCTGAGTGCAGAGGGATTATCTGGGTTCTGCTTTTGTTTCTGTGCCCGTTCGTGAGACCAAACAAGAAAGGGAAGGTTCCCTCTAACTGTAAAGAGAGAGAGAAAAGCCAAGCAAGGAATTTTCGCACACAAAACCAACTGGGTGTGCTGGGCCTTTTCGTGGGCTCATCCAACAAGCCTCCTTAACCACACAGCTCAGTTTTTAGAGTACATCACTCTACACCAGTGATTGTTCCTTGTACACCTGCTTTGGTAGTTCACCTACCTCAAGCAACTGATTTTTTATTTATTTTTTATTTTATCTTTTTAAGTTCAGGGGCCAAAATGGGGGAGAGGGGAATGGTTTGGTGTGGTGGGTTACTTTTTTTTTTAACTTTCAGGAGAAGGGATTTCCTAGTTCACAAATAAAAAATGTGCAGCGGAGCGCTCGCTAAATAAACAGAAAACATGGGCAGCTGAGAGAAATCAATTTAGCTGAACAAACAATGTCCCATGTAATGAACTACTAATTATCCTTTTATGGCATGTCAATCTGAGTGATTACAGAGCTGTGCAGTTTAATTTGACGTTTGAGCATTGCCTTGCTCCATTAGCCGCATATAAAGCTACAACACAAGAGGGGGAGACGGAAGGATGTGTGTGTGTGTGTGAGAGAGAGAGAGAGAGAGAGAGAGAGCATGTACTAGTGAGTCAGCTGCGTTCATCTAGAACTAAGTGAACAGCTGTAAATAAAGGATGCATGTATTGGGGGGAGTTAGAGTGTCTGTCTTAGATTGGTGTGTGTGTGTGTGTTGTTAAATGTTCCTCAGCAACCAAATAAATATGCCTGATCAGCCCCGTGTCACATTGCACGGGCTTCTCATTCACATCAGTTTCCCCGCTGTGATTGATTATTCTTATCTTCAATATCTTGATCTTATTATTAAATATTCAAAGTAAGCTAGAACAAAAGAGAGCCGGGGAGGGGGGGGGAGCCAAAACTATGAACATCAGACATTGTTCGAAAGACTCACATTCCCCATTGTTTTTCACATAATTGTTTTACCACCCCCCTCCCAAAAAAAAAAGAGGTTTGGTTGACTGCGGTGGATTGGGCTCAAATTTTTTCAGGCAACTTTAGTGCTTTGCATAAATTTGGAAGTTGTAAAAAAGAGGTTTTTTACTAAACGGCCCTTTGGGCTGAAGTGGGGCAAACTGGCTTCATACCATTTTAATTATCGTGCCATCAGCACCACCACTTCAAGAATTCTGGGCTATGTAGCTTCCTGAGATGCTGTGCATTTTCTCCATTAGATCTTAGTTCACCTTGATGGGTGAATGGTTGGTCAACTGATAAATGCATGGCTTTTGGGGGATGATAAGAAGAAGAAGAAGAGGAGTTTGGATCCGATATCCCGCTTTATCATTACCCGAAGGAGTCTCAAAGCGGCTAACATTCTCCTTTCCCTTCCTCCCCCACAACAAACACTCTGTGAGGTGAGTAAGGCTGAGAGACTTCAAAGAAGTGTGACTGGCCCAAGGTCACCCAGCAGCTGCATGTGGAGGAGCGGGGAAGCAAACCCGGTTCACCAGATTACGAGTCTACTGCTCTTAACCACTACACCACACTGGTGTAGTGTGGGTGTCAATAAGGTTTAAAAAAAAGGCATTTGATTGGCCACTGTGGGAATAGGATGCTGGACTAGATGGGCCACCGATCTGATATAGCCAGTGTGAGAGGCAGTGTGGCTCCCTGGTTAGAGCGCTGGACTAGGACCTGGGAGGCCAGGGTTCAAATCCCCACTTAGCCGTGAGGCTCACTGGTTGACCTTGGGTGAGTCATGCCTCCTAGCCAAACCTGCATCACAGGGTTTTTGTGGGGATTAAATGAGGACAGTGAGAGCCATGTTCCCCCCTCTGAGTTCCTAGGAGGAAAAAAAAACAAATGGTGGGATATAGAATCGTAGAAAGTGAGGAGGAATTAAAGAACTTTTTAATGAGGGTGAAAGAGGAGAGCACAAAATATGGTCTGAAGCTCAACGTCATAAAAACTAAGATCATGGCCACTGGCCCCATCACCTCCTGGCAAATAGAAGGGGAAGAAAGGAAGGCAATGAGAGGTTTTACTTTTTGGGCTCCATGATCACTGCAGATGGTGACAGCAGTCACGAAATGAAAAGACGCCTGCATCTTGGGAGAAAAGCAATGACAAACCTAGACAGCATCTTAAAAAGCAGAGACATCACCCTGACAACAAAGGTCCGTATAGTTAAAGCCATGGTTTTCCCAGTAGTGATGTACGGAAGTGATAGCTGGACCATAAAGAAGGCTGATCACCAAAGAATTGATGCTTTTGAATTCTGGTGCTGGAGGAGACTCTTGAGAGTCCCATGGACTGCAAGAAGATCAAACCTCTCCATTCTGAAGGAAATCAGCCCTGAGTGCTCACTGGAAGGACAGATCCTGAAGCTGAGGCTCCAATACTTTGGCCACCTCGTGAGAAGAGAAGATTCCCTGGGAAAGACCCTGATGTTGGGAGAGATGGAGGGCACAATGAGAAGGGGACAACAGAGGACGAGATGGTTGGAAAGTGTTCTCGAAGCTACCAGCATGAGTTTGACCAAACTGCAGGAGGCAGTGGAAGACAGGAGTGCCTGGTGTGCTCTGGTCCATGGGGTCACAAAGAGTCGGACACAACTAAACGACTAAACAAAGAATCATAGAACTGTAGAGTTGGAAGGGAACCCAGTGGTGATCTAGTCTCTGCAATGCAGGAATCTCAACTGAAGCATCCAGGGCAGCCCCGTCCTGCACAAATGTGAACTTTCTGAAGGCTTCTTTGCCAATTCAATTCCAGTTTACTTTGGAGTGACCACCATCAGGTTAGCACAATCTTTCCCCGCGTTCTGGAATGGGCCACAGGTTATTTTCCTGCCACGTTGGACAGAGGCCAGTTAAGAAAAAAGAACGAAGGAGCAAGGTTAATTTTACAAAGCCCTGCATGAGCTGATCATGCACCTAGCAGTGCCTTATGAAACAATAGTCTGGACCAATAAATCGCAATGGGTCTAGTTTATCTTAAAAGATTATTTGGCATAGGAATAGAGCAGACTACAATTACTTGCTAGCTAACTGGCCCTCCGCTCCTCTTCTTCCTGTCTCTGCCAGTCTTTCCCTCTACGCTCTGTGCTGGGGCACATACTTGACTCCCACTGATACTAATGGCTATGACATCCATGTACCGAGAAGAGAAAGAAGCCCTTTGACCATGGGCTTCGGGGATGCTGGAGGCTCAAATAATTAAGCTAAATGGAAGAGACAAGTTTAAGCATCAAAGGGGGGGGGAGTGATTAGTTGTCCTGTCCGCAGGGGGAAACAATCTTCTTTTAAAACACAAACCTGAAGAATTTATACTGAATGGGTTCCAAATATATACAGTGATACCTCAGGTTAAGAACTTAATTCGTTCTGGAGGTCTGTTCTTAACCTGAAACTGTTCTTAACCTGAAGCACCACTTTAGCTAATAAGGCCTCCTGCTGCTGCCGCGCAGACGGAGCACGATTTCTGTTCTCATCCTGGGGCAAAGTTCTTAACCCGAGGTACTATTTCTGGGTTAGCAGAGTCTGTAACCTGAAGCATATGTAACCTGAAGCTTCTGTAACCCTAGGTACCACAGTTCACAGGATAGATATTATTCCCCCTCACTGACGTACGAAACGGAATCCCAGCAAAATGTGCTCAGCACTGTGTACATTGATTGAAGGTATATAAAATGAGACTGAGAGAGATGAAGGACCCCATCTGCATTATATCATCCTACAGAATCACAGAATTGTAGAGTTGGGAGGGGAGCCCAGTGGTCATCTAGTCCAACCCCCTGCAATTCAGGAATTTCCACTAGATGAGATTCCAGCGATTGTACCTAGGACCTTCTGCTTGCAAGGCAGAGACACTCTGCTACTGGCCCTTCCTCGGTTATTGCTGCTGCTGCTGTTGTTGTTGTTGCTGCTGCCGCTGCTAACCTTTCCCAAGCCACTCCAGCTTCCTGCTTCTTTCGAACTATTTAAGTAAAGAGCTGCTAAGAATAAAATTAACAGTGGGAGAAAGACATCAGTTTGATGTCTAAATTTAGAGAACTTGATGAATAAATCTATTAAGTTGGTTGCGGGGAAACAAAAGAGGGAGGGGGGAAAATCTTGTTTAAACAGTGAGAAACAACTATGGAATAGGAGTGCATGTCTCCATATTGCTACGTGGTACGACGCATTTGAAAAAAGCTTTTTTCATGGGGCAGGTGAGGTCTCTGGCTGCAGCTGCATATTAAGCAGCAGGTACACATTCCCAAATTCATTTTTTTAAAAAAAATAATATTTATTACTTTTCCGACAATTCAAACACACACAAAAATAAGAAGAAAAAAGAACAACACAACACAATACAAAAACACTAAACAACACACTAAACTAACAGAACAAAAACAATTTAAAAAAAACATCGAACAATTTCCGTATCTTATCTTTCATTCACTTATTTCAGTGACCTCCTCACACCTCCCTTTTTGTATTCCACTTCTGTTAATTGTTTCAGCAATTCCTTTCCATCTTCCTCTGCTTTCTATCTTTTAATTATCTTCACAGATTCTAACCTTATTTTTCCCTTTAGTACTCTATTAATCTATTTATACTTAATTCCTTATAACATTTCTACTAAAGCCATATAACTTCATTCCAACATTTTCCTAACATTCATTAATTATACAGTATTTCTGTAAGTAGTCTTTAAACTTTTTCCAGTCTTCTTCCACTGACTCTTCTCCCTGGTCTCGGATTCTGCCAGTCATCTCCGCCAGTTCCATATAGTCCATCAACTTCATCTGCCATTCTTCCCGGGTGGGTAAATCTTGTGTCTTCCAATACTTCGCGATAAGTATTCTTGCTGCTGTTGTTGCATACATAAAAAAAGTTCTATCCTTCTTTGGCACCAATTGGCCGACCATGCCCAGGAGAAAGGCCTCTGGTTTCTTCAAGAAGGTATATTTGAATACCTTTTTCATTTCATTATAAATCATCTCCCACAATGTCTTAATCCTTGGGCATGTCCACCAAAGGTGAAAGAATGTACCTTCAGTTTCTTTACATTTCCAACATTTATTGTCGGGCAAATGGTAAATTTTTGCAAGCTTGACTGGTGTCATGTACCACCTATAAATCATTTTCATTAAATTTTCTCTTAAGGCATTACATGCTGTGAATTTCATACCTGTGGTCCATAACTGTTCCCAGTCAGCCATCATTATGTTATGTCCAACATCTTGTGCCCATTTAATCATAACTGATTTCACCATTTCATCCTGAGTGTTCCATTTCAACAGCAAGTTATACATTCTTGACAAGTTCTTGGTTTTGGATCTAACAATTCTGTTTCCAATTTTGATTTTTCCACCTGGAAGCCAACTTTTTTGTCCAGATTGTATGCCTCCATTATTTGATAATAATGGAGCCAATCTTGCACTCTGTTTTTCAATTTTTCAAAGCTCTGCAATTTTAATCTGTCTCCATCTTGTTCCAAAATTTCCCAATATTTCGGCCATTTGGCCTCCATATTGAGTTTTTTCTTTTTTTTTCTTTTAAATAATATTTATTAAAGTTTCAAAAGAAGAAAAATCACATTAATAAAAAGATTAACAATAAAAAGGAAAAATACAAAGTAGAAAAAAGAAAAAACAGTTAAAAACAATTCCATCTTTTCATCACTTCTTTTACGTTTACTTGTTTCCCGGACCTCCTCATACCTCCCTCTTTTGTATTCCAATTCAATTTGTTAATCCAGCAATTCCTTTCCCTCCTTTTTAATCCTAATCTTTAATCTTGATATATTATAACATTAAGTTTTTACATATTAAGAACCAATTTTTCCATATTCTTTTGTACCTGTACAGCTAGAAACCACTTAACTTCAATCCAACATCATTCTAACATTCATTAATTTTACAATATTTCTGTAAATAGTCTTTAAATTTCTTCCAATCTTCTTCCACCGACTCTTCTCCCTGGTCACGGATTCTGCCAGTCATTTCCACCAATTCCATATAGTCCATCAATTTCATCTACCATTCCTCCAGTGTGGGTAAGTCTTGTGTCTTCCAATGCTTTGCAATAAGTATTCTTGCTGCTGTTGTAGCATACATAAAGAAAGTTCTGTCCTTTTTTAACACCGATTGGCCAACTATGCCCAGGAGAAAGGCCTCTGGTTTCTTCAAGAAGGTATATTTAAATACCTTTTTAGTTCATTATAAATCATCTCCCAGAAAGCCTTAATCCTTGGGCACGTCCACCAAAGGTGAAAAAATGTACCTTCAGTTTCTTTACATTTCCAACATTTATTATCAGGCACATGATATATTTTTGCAAGCTTGACTGGGGTTATGTACCACCTGTATATCATTTTCATAATATTTTCTCTTAAGGCATTACATGCCGTAAATTTCATACCTGTGGTCCACAACTGTTCCCAGTCAGCAAACATAATATTATGTCCAACGTCTTGTGCCCATTTAATCATAGCAGATTTCACCCTTTCATCCTGAGTATTCCATTTCAACAGCAAGTTATACATCTTTGACAAAATCTTAGTTTTGGGTTCTAACAATTCTGTTTCTAATTTTGATTTTTCCACCTGGAAGCCGATTTTCTTGTCCAAATTGTATGCCTCCATTATCTGATAATAATGAAGCCAGTCTCGCACTTTGTTTTTTAGTTTTTCAAAGCTCTTCAATTTCAATCTATCTCCATCTTGTTCCAAAATTTCCCA